GAATGTTCTTCCACTAGACATCCCCTTGCTCCCTCTACGTCTTTGCTCAAATCCACCTCACTGAGGCCCACACAGATTTCTGTCTATGTTGTACACCCCAATACCCCTCACCCTTCTTGGGTTTTTCCCCTGGCACTTTATACCTTTAAGTATACCCCTTTGTTGTTTCAGTCTGCCCTCACAAGCTTAGAGACTTCAGGAGGGCAGTGATTTTTGTCTGGTTCGTTCTCCGATGCCTGTGTGAGATCAGTGCTCACCGGGGTAAAAGTGAGCTGACTTGATTTGAATATATTCCCACTGTATGTTATATGGTTTAGTTTGGGTCCATTTAGTTTGTTAGCATGACTTTAAGGTAGGATTACCTGCTTTCATCCTGCATCTCTAAGTGTGGCCTGTCACCCACGTACCATGTAATCAGTCCTCACTGCTTACTGGGGGACCCGGCCCCGTTCCGCTACCAGCTGTGTAAACCTCGGCAATTTACCTAGCCACTCCGCGTCTCGATTTTATTATCTACATATGGGGATAAAAGCTATTACCACTCCATGAGAAAGGAAATTAGAATGATAAGGTGTTCTAAATGAATTAAACCTTGAAAGATATGCAGACTTGGAAGATGAACCGTGCTTACAGTGAGTATGTGACTTTTAGGGAATTCAAAACAAGCCTTCATAGACTGCCTGGAGCTTCGTGGCCTATAAACTAACTTACATATTCTGGCTATGACAAAAAAAAAATTGTAGTCGTGGAATCCTAATTAGACTTGTGCTAAAAGTTTCTTAAGCGATACAAGTTTTTGAGGAGAGATCAAAAGCTGAGAATGAGAAGGTTAAGTTAAAAACTGGCCTCAGAGAGGTACGTGTGTGAAGTCCCAGTTATGGCCCCCACACACCTGTCTGAAGTAATTGCTCAAGGACACCTGTTAGCAAAGCATGCACTGACCAGCTGGCATTAAAGTAAAAGGACCCTAGGCTCCCACAGACTGTACATTGTATATTGTAACCTCACCTCCTGCCTGTTGCTATGTTACTTAAAACAGTATGACATGGGAAACATAAAAAGCCAGTCAGAAGCTTATGCTGGTCTTTTGAGAAAATTATGAGTTCTTAGGAGAAAATAACCTTTCTTCTTTCCAGTTAGCCCTATAAAAGAAAACCCCAGCTCTGCCAGCCTGGAGCACTGATTACAGTCTCCTGAAGTGTTTGCTCCCGGCCGCTCATCCACATGCTGTAGCTTGAACAAACCGTTTGCTTGCTTGACAAGCTTGATCAGACATCTTTATTTCAGCCTGACATCCATAAAAGTGTTGTGAGGATTCAATGAAGCGATCCACATGAAGTACGTTTAACAGGGCCTGGCACATAATCAAGAAATATTCATTATTACGGCTGTGACGTCAAAAAGCTCATGGTGAACGACCCTGTAGTGTAATGGTTGGTCACTGTGCATTGAGAGCCAGATCCCACATGGCAACTAACAGTTTGAATCCTGTCCCCAGTGGCTTTAAAAACACACCAGGCACATACATGTGTGTTCCCAAAGCATGATGCTATGGAAAAATAGAGGGAAACAGATTGTGGTAAGACTACCCCATTGAGAAGTAACTTCTTTTTTTCTTTGTTCCAGTCTCTGTCTCTCTGTGTCTGAACACATGCACCCTCTGAGAACTTTCTTTTTAAAAAGAGTTTATGGAAAATGGAATTAACGTATGAGTTTATTTCGGTGCAGAAAGCTTAAGTCCATTCATAGTATTTTCATAATATGTGTTTTCCATGAACTTTTTGAAGACCCATTGTATTTACAGCCAAGTCCAGAACTCTCTCCCCTCAGCCTCTGCCTCACTATTGCTCCCCGGATGTTATTCCTCTCTCCTGAGCTATCTCTTCTTTTATTCCGCTTCTTACAGGTCAGACCTGAAACTGGTATTGAGGTCCCTTCAGCTCCAACACTTACTTACTTTCTTTCTTTTTTTCTTTCTTTCTTTCTTCTCTCTCTCGCTCTCTCTCTCTCCTCTCTCTCTCTTTTCCTTCCTTCCCTTTCTTCCTCCCTTCGCCCTTTCTTCCTTCCTTCCTTCTTCCTTCCTTCTTTCTTCCTTCCTTCCTTCCTTCCTTCTCTCTCTCTCTCTCTCTCTCTCTTTCTTTCTTTTTTCTTTTTCTTTCTTTTTCTAAATATATACCACAACTGCTTTCAAAAGCTCCAGGTAACTCTCTGAGTAACCTGTACCTAGACTGAAATTTCATGTTTTAGTAACAGGATTTTAAGAAAAAATCCTATGGGAACAAGAGGGAAATTTTTTCTCACAGGCTTCTTTATTTGGCCTTAATCTAGAATGGTTTTAATACTATCATTTCCCACATAACTTACTCCATTTCATTTAAATTTCTTATGTTTTGGATTTTGGCTAGAGGACAAATGTACTCACCAGAGAGAGGGAGAGAGAAGTGAGAAAGCATCCCCCAGTGGGGCCTGGTCATGTCACAGTGGTTTTCCTCCATTTCCTCATCCCATCAGGATCCTAGGCACACACATGCACCTGGCATGTTTTCAAGCCATCTGGGCCAGGACTCAAACCAGGTGAGCCATGTGGGAGCTGGCTCATACACAGGGCTTACCCACTGCACTATGGGCCCCCCCCCGGGAGTTTTTGGGTTGTTTGCTTTGTTTTTTGGAGAGGTTTTTTTGCCTTAGAGCACATGCACTGATCAGAGAGAGAGAGAGAGAGAAATCACCCCCCAGGGGGGATGGCTACACCACAATCTCTTCTTTCTCCTCTCTTGTGATCTTGGGCACACACGCACACACACTCCAGGCGTGATATTCAAGCCACAGATTCCAGGACTCAAATCACCACTGGCCATGTGGGAGTCCAGTGATGTAACTGCCAAGCCCATTTTTTTTTTAAGTCATGACCCTCTTGGGCGAGTCCTGTAACCTGGTGGTTGAGGCAACTGGATCCCACATGGCTGACTGTGGTTCCAGGGTCCCCAGCCCTGGAAGCTTAAAAACACACCAACTATGTGTGTCTGCATGCCCAAAGTCCCGAAAGGATGGAGAGATGGAGGAGAGGGGGTGGTTGCGTAACCACATCCCATTGGTGGGTGTTTTCCCTTCTCCCTCTCTCTGCCTCCGTGAGCACACAAGCCCTCTGGGAATTAAATAAACAAATAAAATGTAACCCTCTGAACATCCTGTGCTTGTACTATTTTTAAAGAGAAAAATAACATCAGGTCTTGTGGCAATTATTTTTGCCTTGAAATTAATTTTAAAATTCCTTGGTATGTGCATGCTTTTTACGTTTCCTTCTGAGGCTAGCAGAAAAGAAACTATGTCCTGCGAAAGCTGTACCATCGTATCTCGCTCTGTGAGGTCTGCCTTACCTCATGCCACTAGTCTGAGGGAAAGGAGGCTGCCAGAAAACTTGGCTAAAGGTAGGGGATAAAAGGTCTAAAGGATTAAATTTCTAACTCCCAAAATAACCCCTGAGTACTCCTGCCATCTCCAAATCAGGCCCTGCACGCTTCTGCACATTGGCAGAATGCCACCTCTCTGGCCTGCGCCCAGGCTGCCCTGATGAGCCATGGATGTCCCTCCATCCCCACAGGGCAATCCCATGGAGAGCCTGGGGAACCCACTGAATTAAGAATGGACATGCAAGATGCATTTCTCTCTTTCTACATCTTTAACATTCTTCTTTGATCTCCTCTCTTCTACCTTTTTCTCCACCTGTATCCAGGATTCTCAATGGTTCCACAACAGTGTTTTCCAAATGTCCGTCATTTGGACACCACAGTTACGATACTCTCCAACACCACCGTATCCAAACCCCACCTATCCTGTTGGTTATCTCGTTTTTTCACTTAAAAATTTATTAAGGCACAGCACTGCTTTAAATTTATTAGAAAACCAGCTTCCTTGACAGAGAAGGCTCCCTTATAAGTATCATGTAAACAAAAATATACAGTAATGAAATATTTTCATTGGAAATGGCTGCTTGTGCAGGGTTTATGCCTGAATCTTGCTTTCTTTTAGGTTAAAGAATCCCGAAGCTGTTTAAAACATATCAGTATCAAGGTGAGACCAGATCCTTGAAGAAGACATGGAAAGATGTCCAAAGAGAAAACAACTTTTTAATTGATTTTTTTTTGAGAGGTTTTCGCTATAGGGCGTGCGCTCGCCAGACAGACAGAGAGAGACATAGAGACAGAAAGCAAGAAATCACCCCCCCAGGGGGGATGGTCACGCCGCAATCCCTTCTCCTCCATTCTCCTCTTGGGATCTTGGGCACGCACGCACACGCGCCCGGCGTGAGTTTTAAGCCACCGGGTCCGGGACGTGAACTGCAGTCGACTATGTGGGAGTCCAGCTAACTGCTGGTTCCCTAATTGATTTTTTTAAATGTCAAGTGTACATATTACATAAATATTAACCACTTTCGGAAACACTGCTTTTGAGTTTTAGACTCACACAAGGTAAATAGGTTTGTTGAAATATGTTAGATTTTAATTTCATTTCCTTTAAGAATGGAGTGAGTACCCCATTTTCTAACTGTTCTAAAAAGATCTTGTATATTTTTCCTCTTTACTTATGTACTACTTGTGACCAACTACCAGACAATATTTCGGATATAGGATTCTTTTCTATGCATCCCAGATTGCGGCCAATGAACGGGACTTTAGATGTCACCTACACCAAATTTTGACACATCTCCATTTTCAAAAAAAATAAAAAACAGGCTTGGGGTTTGTGGCCGAGGACGATTTGCTCAAGGTCACCAAAAGGAACCAGCTTTTGGTCCCTGCAGCCCTGAGTACAAGCTATCCCTTCCTCAGGAGGCTTGGTGAAAGGTCGTCTGGCCGGCTAAGCCCAAGCTTCTCCCGTTCACTGTGTTGATCGCAGTTGCCAAGGCAGCGGCGCATTGTTCCCGCCCCATCATGGTTACGTCACGGAGCCAATGTCCAATGGGAAAGCAGCCTGGCGTCACGCTCTGCCTTTTTCGGCCCGCGCCGCCTTCGCGGCGGGGAGAGAGGCGTCGTCCGTGCGGAGAGGCGAGCTCGGGTCGCGGCCGCGGCGAGTTACATCGTTTTCCAATCTGTCCGCCCCGCCGCCGCCCGACACCCAAAATGTTCAGAATGCTGAGCAGCAGCTTTGAAGACGATCCTTTCTTCTCGTGAGTGTTGGGGACCGAGGAGCCCGCGGCGCGCGGGAACTCGGGGTCCCCAGGGGAGCTACTTTAAGGGAAAAGAGCGAGGTTCTGAGGGCGAGAAGCAATTCGGGGGACTACAGAGGGCGACTGGGGGTGTGCGGTGAGGACTTGGGGGTGAGGTGGAGACAGGATCATATGGGGGCCGACAGCGGGAGACGAGGACTGCGATATGGAGAGGACGATGGGGGCAGAGGTGAGGACCCGTCCCAGCCGCCTCCGTCCCCACACCCAGGTGCCCCCGACTTCCCGCGTTGGGTCCGTCTTGGCGGGACCCGGCGCTCCGCAGGCGACCGTCACTGCCCTCGCGGTGCGACGTCTGGTGAGGACCATGCGCGCGGGACTCTCTCTGCACCAATTTTAATTCCCGGTCGGGGCGAGGAGTGTCGTGGAAGGATGGCAGTCCCTTGAAACGAGAAACGTTTTCTAACACACTTTGCACGCGCGAAGAGGCTGTGTCTCGAGAGCACAACCAAATGGGAAAGTTGTGCCGTGTCGCCTGCGAGTGGTTCCAAGTTGTCCTGTGCACTGTTTTCTGTGCTCGCTTTGTCACAGAGCTAGCCTTGTCTGGACAGGGACTCCTCCTCCTGTCAAAAGAACAAACAGGGCAGGGAAGAGAGGGCCGCGCTTAGCACCCTGGGCAAACCCGTGCCGTTTCCCTGGGAATGAGTCCGGGGAAACAGCGCAACACCCTAGGAAGAACGCGTCCGGAAATTAGTTCGACTATGATCTGATTTTCTGTTTTAACTTTTCTTTTGGCCATGTATAAGCGTAATAACATATGCCAGTAGGATCCCTGAAAACGAAGATTTGGGTTACTGTTATTTTGACCTCTTAATTACATGTGCAACTTGGGGACCGGTTTTTAAGGATAAAATGATAACAGTTTTTCCGCACAGATATTTTTAAATGTTTTCTTCCAAGAAAAATGTTACATTGATTTAAACGTGTGTTAGTAATAATTTAAAAGCAAATAACACTCATAATTGGAAAGATAAGAAAAAGTGAAATGATTAATTTAGAAAAAATAAAATAACATTTTCCCCAAAGGTTATTTGTTTTAACGAAGGTGTATAAGTATAGGCTTAGAAAAATTTATTACTCTGTTTTAAGTTAATTTGTTTAGGAGCTTTTGGAATATGTCAGTGACATTTTAACAAGTTTAAAATGTTGTTATGATTTTCTCTTGAAAGCCTCTGAGACTAGAGCCTAAATATATTTATAGATGAATTGGACTGTTGAAGTGATCTTGTGTAAATGTGACACAGCACAGCAGGTTGCAGTCAGAAAGCTTATGATTGACAATTTTTTAGTTGTATGACATCCTCTATTATACCGAAAAGAGTGATGGCCTTAACTAAACCATGACTATGTATTAATAATTAGGATCTTCTTTAAAATGTCTAGCAGAAGTGTAATTTAAACTCTTGGGTGACTCTTTCTGAGCAAAGGCAATGAACCCAAGAGTCAGGGTCAGAAATAGTAACAGACTACAAATAGTAGGCATACATCAAAGAACACTTCCCTAGTGCTTGGGCTGGAAAGGACTTCAGACACTTTTTCAGTCATTACTATCTGTAGGCTTCTTCAAATGTGGGCAGCTATATCATAAAAATTTAAAATGAGTGATTATAATTAACTTTATAAAACAGATTAATGCTTATAATGTCTTTTCTCCACAATTAATTATATGTAGATTAAGTACACTTTGTAGGATTAGGGAGAAAGAAAATATATGAGTTTATATTTATTTCAGGTCATCTGTAATTTCAGACCTTTTACCTCAACCCCCATTTGACCTCCTTGTACCTCAACTCCAAACAAAATGACTTAATACAAATCAAACATATGAAATTCATGAAGGTAACTAATTCCTTATGAATCATTTACTGACCTTAACATAAAAAGGAAGTAGAACACGTAGCCCATGTCCACCATCTTTCATATAAATATTATTCCTGTTGCTCACTTTGTGTGTTGTCATTGGGTTCCATGTCACTGATTTAATATAGAAAATAGTCAATAAATATTGTTTAAAGGTGTTCTGGTATCCTTTACTTTCTCTCTTTCTATATATCTCATAGTTAATGTGATATATAGTGCATTGCTTGAAATAATTATCATTTGTATTCAACAAATGCCTTTGTTAATCTTAGCTTTTTCTTATTAGAACCCTTGTTTTCTAAATTAGTTCACAATCAAAGAAGGCTAATATAAGCACTCTTTACTAATTCATTAATAATTCCAAAGTGGAAAAAAATTAATTTCTTGAGTAGAAAATTTAAAATATTAGATAGTTTGAGACTGATAAACACTTAAAAGATTTGGGTAAAATATGATTAAAATTGGTGTTTTTTTCATTCAAAATATATTCAGTGTTTCCTTTCTCACAACAGTACATCTAAAATGTTTAATACAAAATTGAAGGGAAATGTTAAAAGTAATATTTTCAGGTTTGGTGTTTTATTACATATTTGGGATTTTAAAGAAGAACTTTGGTATCTTACTATATTCCAGCTCTGAAATTATTTCAATGAAAATTTATCTTATATTAAGATATACTTTCTTAGATAATATTGAAAATGAGTTAAAAACACAAAAGTTAGGCCCATACCAGTGAAAAGCCAGAATTCATGTACATCTGAGGTGGCCCTAGCCCTTTAACTGTAAAAAGCTTCTGCCCCAAAACCTGCCTTCTGGCCCATCACCCAGAGAAAAGCCAGGTAGGTTGGTCTCTGTCTTCTTTTTGTCTCTGTCCCTCCCTCTCCCTTTCTCTCAAAATTTTTCTCATACACACACACACACACACAAACACACACATATATATAAAGAATTCTTTATATATATATATAAAGAACCTGTAGGTACTGTCTCTTGTCTCTGACCTCTCTTTTCTGTTGCTAATTTCAGAATCCATGTGCATCCTGTGGTGACCCTAGCCCTGCCCCTTTCAAGGTTGCTAGCATGTCCTGGGGTTCTCATTTTTATGCCTTTTTTTCTTTAAATAAAAACTTTACCCATTTTGTTTTCTTTTGTCTTTTTTTATTTTTTGTCTTTTTCCCTTTGTTTCTTTTCTCTCACCTGACTTTCTCACCTTGCTTCTCACGTTCCACACATTGAGTGTCTAGGCAGATCTAGGTGCACAGTAGTGAAACAACTTAATACTTTATACCCCGCAGCTCAGCCCATGTGCCCCTATTCCCTTGAAACTGTGAGACCTTTTTAATATCCAGTTCTATAGACAAAAGTGCAGGTTGCTTGGAAAAAAAAAATCAGAGAAATTGCAGGACATCTCCTTCCAAACACCTCTAACACTCAATTAACTCCAAGAAGATAGGAGGAAACGTATAATCCATCAGATGACCAGAAACCACCAGCACAGAGACCACAAAAATTATGGGAAATCAAGAAAATATCTCTCCCCTAAGGGGAAAGAACAACCTTTCATCATCAGACAGTACAATGGAACTCATGGAAATATCAGATAAAGAATTTAGAATATTTATAGTGACAAAGCTAATAGAGATGCAAGAGAAGAGAGACAATGAACTCTAGAAAATTCAGGAGAAAAGAGACAGCGAGTTCCAGGAGGTGAGGAAGTTCTTGTATGATCTGAAAGAGGAAGTACACACCATAAAAAAGAATCAAATGGAACTGTTAGAGATGAAGGCTGTAATACAGGAACTCAACCTCCCTTGAAAGTATTAAAAGCACATTAGATCATGCAAACGATCAAATCTCAGATATAGAAGATAGCACCTCTATCCTAGAAAAGTTCAGAAAAAAGATTGAGAAAACAACCCCTAAAAATGAGAATAATATACAAGTAGTACCAGATACCATTAGATGCCCAAACATCTGGATAATAGGTATCCCAGAAGGTGAAGAAACTAATCAGGACATTGATAATCTATTCCATGAAATTCTGGAAGAAAACTTTACAAACCTAGATCCAAGAAATACAAAGGATCCCACATAGAATCAACCCAAGAAGATCTCCAAGGCACATCGTCGCCAGATTGACCAAAACCACAGAGATAAGATACTAAAATTGTCAAGAGAAAAATGTCAAGTTACTTTCAAAGGATATCCCATCAGGCTAATATTGGACCTCTTGTTGGAAATAATGCAAGCAGGAAAGAATAGGAAAATATATTTAAAGTGTTAAGTGAAAAACAATTTCAAGCAAAAGTACTCTATCCGGCAAGATTATTCTTCATGTGGGAAGAAAAGATAAAAACATTCTCAGATAAACAATACCTAAAAGAATTTACCAACACCAGACCAGCTCTTCGAGAAGTTCTGAAGGGAGTACTATACCAGAAAAACCAAAGACAGATAGACAAATAAGAGAACAAAAAATGACCAAGAAAAGGTCCAATTTAATGGTAGAGGCAAGTTTGGAAATATCAATAATAATGTTGAATGCTAATGTAAAAGTCAGACCACAGTAACACTGCAAATTCAACCAAACAGAGGTTACGTGAGACTGAACTGATGAAATAGAATTCTACAACTTTTTTCTAAAACATTACAGATTTTCTTCTATGCTTTATCTTTCAGATTTAAGGATTTTTCTGTTCTTTTGAGTTGTTGATAGGTTCAGCAATTTGTTAAAAAAATGAATTTTTTTTTTTTGGAGAGATTTTTCACTGTAGGGCGCGTGCGCTCGCCAGACAGACAGAGAGAGACATAGAGACAGAAAGCGAGAAATCACCCCCCAGGGGGGATGGTCACACCGCAATCCCTTCTCCTCCATTCTCCTCTCGGGATCTTGGGCACACACGCACACGCGCCCGGCATGAGTTTTAAGCCACCGGGTCTGGGACACGAACTGTGGTTGACTACGTGGGAGTCCAGCGACACAGCCATTACGCCAACTGCTGGTTCCCAAAAAAATGAATTTTTTAATTGAAACATAAACTTCTCCCTTCCTGACCTCTTATTTTGTGGCAGAATGGTTATTT